AATCACCTTTCTTCCCCATACTGATGCTCGGTTTGAACTGCAGGAGATTGTCTTGACCATGTCTACATGCCTAAATGCACTGAGTTGCCGCCATGTGATTGGGTGCTTAGAAATTAAGTGTTAGCGAGCAGTTGGACAGGTGTACCTAATAAAGTGGCCGGTGAGTGTAGATTCTCCTTAGGTGTGAGTGTGGGAGTGAATGGTTGTTTGTCTCTGTGTTGCCCTGCGATGGACTGGCGACCTTTCCAGGGTGTACCCCGCTGATAGCTGGAGATAGGCACCAGCACCCCTTTCGACCCCAGCTGGAATAAGCGTGAAGGAAAATGGATGGATGGATGCTTGCATTGATTCAAAAGGCCCAAACCTAAAGTATTATCAGAATACCTGCTTAAAATTTCAGTCTCAAAATCCGAGAATTTGGCCATGATTACAATTTCTTTTCAAGATAAGCCTCAACTGTTAGACATCGACCAGTGGAATGACTCACAAACAAGTCTTTGAAAACAATCAGGTAATATGATGGTGAAAAGTAAGAAACAAAAAAGTTATAAGGTTGAGACATCCAGAAATCATTGGAAGTTAAAACTACTTTCAAATATATTAGATAAAATCTTAATAACCAAAGACTTTTGCATGTGAAGGTCTCCATAAAATAGAAGATACTCGGCCAATTGCTGTAATTCTATTCAACAAGTGAACAATCACGGTTGTTTCCATTTTTCCAAAGCTGGATGTTCAGTTATGCAAGTACAAACCTGTTATATTTGAAATGATACATGAAAAGAATACTTCAAAATGACTCCAGCTGCCCTAAATGCCCTCTCCTGGCGTAGGTTTTAGTTGGTCAGGTACAAAAGCACAAAGACTGTGAAGAAGACATTAAAAACAAAGACAAAAAATGTTATTACCATAAATAATACCAGCATTAAAATTATGCTTTTCTGGCATCAAGGAGCCTGACTCTACATTTCCTGTCTGACCATAAATCAGATTGAGCTCTTAGTATGTTTGATCAGTTAGTATTAACAAAATTATCAGATATTTTCATCAAGTCAGTAATTTACTTAATAGTAGGGTTTTATTTTTTTGTAATCCTCTAGCAGGTTTGTTGACAGCTTTTGAGATACTGATGCACAAACATGGATGTATTTTAATGTGATACCATAAACCTGCTGCTTCTTTTGCTTCTCGAAAGGTTAAAAGAAATGAACCAAGATATCAGAAAAGGCAATTGTAAAAACCTCTGCAGATCTGATATCTCTGGATACTATTTCCATTTGCCCGAAGGGGCCAAATTCATCTGCTCTGCTTAAATAAAATGATGCAAAAATAAATAAGGGAATGTCCACCGAACCCCATTTAAGAAGGATTAGGACACCGCATCCCAAAAACCAACTTTGGCTGAAAGACCACAGAAGCAATCACACTGAAGGCATTAAAGGCAGATTGCAGTTTGCCAGTTCAAACAGGGACACAGATTTTCACTTGGAGACATGTTCTCTGGTCTTATGACAGCACAGTAAAGTGTTTGGCTATGGTGAACAATTGATCCATTCGGATTTTAGACAGAAGAGTCAAAAGAAATAGTTTTCCATATGCATTAGAAAGACCTGGAATTATCAGGTTTATGTGAAGACTTTAAGTAAGGTACTCAATAAAAAACAGCATCTATTCACTCACCATACACTGAAACAGTGACGGATTTCAAAGCTAGACGAAGTCCCCAAGACACAGTGGAAAAAAACTGGTAACTGGTTTCAAAGGCAAACCAGACCAGAATGGCCCAATCAGTCATGCCACCTGTATCACACACAGATCACATAGAAAAGAGAAAAATCTAGCTCTGGGATAGATTTTGATTCAGCGGAATAAAATTTCACCTCTGAATTTTTGAAACAAAGCATTTTTTTGTTAATTTTATAATTCCTTGATATCAATCAGTATTTACTGGCATTGCAAAAGTTGTTGTTGGTATATAAAATCACTTTCCAGAATAATATGCCCACAATCATGGATTTATTTATTTTTTTGGGGGGGGGGGCATATTTCACTGTCCAAAAGCAATGTTGCACTACAGAACAGTTATTCGTCGAGCACTAGGACCAAGCAGAAGACCACAAATAGAACTGAAACTGCTTCCCTGAGTTTAATTCAACTCAATTCAATTCAGTGTATTTACATAGCACCAATTCACAACAGATGTCATCTCAAGGCACTTTACAATTCAGCCAGATCATCCAGTCAGATTGATTCAAAGTTTTCTGTCTAAGGAAAACCAGCTGATTGCATCGACTCATTGACTCAAAGGCAATCCCTCACAGCATTCCTGTAGCGACAGTGGAGAGGAAAAACTCCCTTTTAACAGGAAGAAACCTCCAGCAAAACCAGGCTTAGTGTGAGCGGCCATCTGCTGAGGCCGACTGGGGTTCAAGGAGACAGAAGCAGAGATACAAAAAGAACTGTAAAGCAGCTCCACAGGCGGCCCCTGATTGGCCTACCGTCTTTTTTTGTGTGATTGCCTGTCACTGCTGTCACTCCTTAGAATATTCCTTTACAAACATCTGATGCACCACTGAATCAGGTCTAAAGTTAGTAATACTAAAAAATACATGCGTCCCCCCTACTTTTGAAATCAAACTTTTGTCAATGCCCACAATTGTGTTAAAGATAAAGGCTTCGGCTTGAGACTGCTACCATTTACTGTAATGCTACTCGAGTAAACAAAAAGCCATAAAAACCATTAATCTTAAGCAAACCACCATTCAGTGGTTCTATGCAAACGTAGTCTCGTATTATTTTTATTGGAGAAAATCAGCAAATCAAAAAAGACACAATCATAATAACTTAGTGACCACTCAGGGTTTATTTTTAAATTTTTAATATTCCAACCTTCTTTAAATCGACTTCTGTGAAGAATGCATGTTTGTCTTTTTTTCTTTATTTGTCCTAACCAACAGTTTTAAAAGGTTTTAATGATTAAGTAGAAAGAGGAGAATAAATCTTAACCTGCCACTTTATCCTTTAGATCTCTGTAAACCTAAATGGCTTGAAACACCATCACTTCCTGTGGTAAAAGCTGTTTTAAATACCCTGATCAGAGTTTTTTTTTTTTTTTAAAGGAGTTAAAGTTTGGTCATATAACAAAAAAGAAGAAAAAAATGATACAAATGAGTCTTTTCAAGATGTCTTTTCTTCTTTTTTTTTTCCTTCAGCAGGAACATGTGATAGCCATCGAAGCCGTCGAGCTGTTTCACTCAGAATGTCTCTGGAAAAGCATGTGGGCGATAATGATGGAGCCCAAGAGAGAGAAAAAGAGAGGAGGGGGAGGGAAAGCAAAGAGAAGAGAAAGAGAGGGTCCCTCAGGGCTTTTGGGGGCCTGCTAAGCAGCTCAACTGCTGCAAACAGCATCAGAGTCCACATGTGCAAACATTTAAGATATCTGCCTGTGTAATGGGGTCAACATGGCCCCTCTCTGGGTGCACCGAGCACCGCCGTTCATTTCCCACACAAATGAGGCGACTGCACTTCAGTAAAAAGATAGGGACTGACTTTAGGTGCTGTTGGTTTGTTACCTCAGGGATTTGCTTCAGGATGACTCAAACTGAGCCCTTACACTTGCAAACATTACAGTCTGCTGTCTTGTAGTAATCTTTGAATGTTTTGGAGCTCCTCTGAGGTTTTCAGCCAATGAAACTCTGGAAGTAAAGAGTAAAAGTACTTGGCTGAGAGTTGTCACACTAAAGGGAATATTTGGTTGGTAAAAACATAATTTGGCATCATTAGTTTTTAAGAGTTTGTTTTTTGCACACATTTATTTTAGAGCATAAAGAACAATTCTAAGTTTTTGTTTAGCTGATGTTCTTGTTTGCTTCCCTGTCATAGAAAACATGTTACTGTTTTTATTTCATTTTAGAAAAGCTCAAGGTTGTGTCTTTTCATAATGATCAAGCTAGCACAGGTAAGTTTAGAGTATCAAGTTGGTCTTAAAAGTTGCCCTTCCCCCACCTATTGCTTTGCCTTGCAGATCATTTGCTGAAAGAAATCAGCTGTTTTCCCAAATTGTAAACCTCAGGTTTAAAAAAAAAAAAAAAACATCCAGTGTTTAGAACCTAAAGGAGCGCCACCCATCTCTCACACTAAGATACTGCCATCTTAAAACAATAAGCGTATTATGGGATGTATTGCAATTTACCAGCTAAAACCATCGCCTATACTGTGCAGCTGAATGGTTCAATGTTTGACATTCCGCACAATAGGCAGGGAAGTTACTAAATTAGGTTTATTGCAGTTACAGCTGACATTGTTCATTCCTCTGGTAGAATTCATCTTTTAATCTGACCAGATTGAGCTAATGTTTAGGAAGAAGATGGGCAGAAGCCCAACCAATTCAATAATGAGTGATGACAAAGAGGCCTTTCCAAGCTTAAAAACCTGGGAACTCCATTAACGTATCATAATAACAGTGGTTAAAAGCTAAAATCTGAAATTTAGATGCTTGATTATCAAACAGGGAATAAATCATTTCATGGCAATTATATGGTTCGTTCAATCAGCAGTATCGGTACTAGACCACCTGCTCAGCCAAGGTATCGGTGCACCTATAGTTTTACAATGCCAAGTCTGACGGGTTAATCAGCTATTTTTAGCTGCTTTTTTTTCTTTAATGATACCGGTAAATTTTTAAGGTTTCTTCGGTTGTTTTGCCGTAACAGTTCTCAGCTACGTAACAAACACCCTTAAGATCTGACCTGAAGGTAACAGTTCAAGGTTAGGAGGGAAGTGATGCGTGTCAAGGGATTAAAACAGAACATGGCCGGAAGAGTCTGGGGTGAGATCTTTATTTCAGGCACGGAAAGAGTCTCTTCCTCTGATGGCGCCACAACCTCTGTTCCATTTCCCCTTCCTTCTTTTGGTCACCGCACACAGATCCAGTCCCGCGTCCTGCGTCCGTGATCCTCCCCTCCCAGTCTGTGCGAGTACAATAAGCACCTCTAAACACTCATCTGCAGTACAATAGTTAAAGAAATGAGACGAAAAATAAACAAACGTTCATAATGACCCACACAGGCATCATTATAAATCACTTTTATTTAAATCAGCGTTAGGCAGTTATGCTATGAACGACACAAGAAATAAAAAAGAAAATAAAGCAACAAAAAAAGACATTAAAACATGAGATCCAGTTAACATTAACTGCACTTGGCACTGGATAGACGTTCATGGAAAGAGGGGAAGGCAAAAAAATAACAATATACACATTTTTTTTATTTTTTTTAATACCCGAAATAGAAGTGCCTCCGGTAAGAGTCAGAGACCTCAAACATTTCTACTTTCATCAGGATGATGTGATATTTTCCAAGCTTTATAATCATTCAACCTGCGTCTGCCTCCAAACGTATGTCCGCTCCTTCAGCCTCAGCTTTACATCCAAAAACAGGAGACAGAGGCTAAGCTGCGTTATAAACAAATCTGAAATCCTTCCCGTTTATTAACCGTGAAATATAACCCCCCCACCCCCCCGAATAACCCCAAACGTACCGTCACACACTCGCCGTCAAGCTCTGGGGCTTTTACTTCGTTTTTTTTTTTTCTGTCCCTTTATGAATCAACCATTATTTATATAAAAGAAGAAAGTGAAGAGTGTGTCACCCTGTGCTCACCATTTAATGGTAGCAATGCACAACACCAGGAGGAGAAGATAGAGGAAAACAAAACAGAATCCAGCCAAAGAAAATAATCCCTCACCAGAAAACATGTCATATCATTCATATAAAAAAAAAAAAATGTGATCGGTTCACGCTCGCCTATATCAGGTGCTGAAAGCGGCCGTGGCTGTTTGTGAGGGGGCTGTGAATGAGATTGAAACTTTGCATCGTTTTAATCCTCCTAAAGGCCTGAAGCTGCTGGGTTGGAGAATCTATCTGCAGGTAAACGTCTCCCCCAGGAAACAAAAAAGAAAAACTGCTTCCATCAGCAGGGCCGGTCAAGCTGGGGGCTTCTTCATGGGGTGTCCTAGCCAGGATCTGAGCCAATCTTCAAACAGGAGAGAAGAGAGGTAGGAGGAGAGAAGAGGAGCAAGAAGAGGTCAACTCTGATTCTTTTGGATGTTTGAGGAAAATCAAAAGCATCTGAGGCTCAAGAAAAAAATAAAATAAAGAGGGATAAATAGATAAACTCTGCAATATGGGCGAATGGAAGAAATGTGTTTGTGAATGGTGTTTTTTTTCAGGTGTGTGAGGTTGTTCTGTCCGTCCTGGTGCTTTATCTGACGGTGACTCCAAGTTTTTCCAGCACGCGGACTCCTTTCTCCTGGTACTCCTCTCGGGTCAGCCAGAAGTTGTCCTTGTCCTTCATGATGTCGGCCAGCACAGCTCCGCCCAGGAACACCATGTGCTTTCGCCTGGGAGGATCTTCAATCCGGATCTTAAATTTCTATGAGATGGAGGAACACGGAGGAATTATAAAAAGTTCACAAGGCAACAGCATGTCCCCCCGATGAAGGCCTTCATGCTTCTTTCATCAGGGTGATCTGGATCTAAGCTCAACTTCAAACAGTTTTTCTGCAGCGCTTAAAGTAATGTTTCTGCTCCCAGAATCACAAAATATGTACAAACAACATATCCAGCTGGACAGTGTTTTCAAACTTTCTGTCCTAAAAGATGGCAGACAGTTCTGATTCCTCTATTTACAAATTTCACACTTCATTTAGGCTTTTTCTTTTAATTTAAAACTTAACAGATATATACTATTGTGGATTGTATTGAAATAGAAAAGCAGCAAACTACAGAAATATGGGTGTACTGACGAACAATAGGAACGATTGCTAAGTATTTTAGCGTTGCAAGGCTGAAATTAGGGCTAAAACAATCAATGTGATTAATCATGATTAATCGATAATTGAAATAATTGTCAACTAATTCAGTAATTGAATAATCATTAACTGTAGAATAGAGACTAAAATATGCCTTGAGCTGACAGAGCCACCCACTTAGAGCAGTAAATAAAAAAAATATGTTAGCATTTTGGATTCAAAACTTTTTCATCTGTCACTATGCTCTATCCAGAACTCCTCCAGTGGAAAAGTTTTAACTCTGGTTTAATTTAACAAAAAGTATTTTTTGAGAAACCTTTTGCTATCCGATTATTAATTGATTAATGGAAAATATAATGGACAGATTAAAAGATTTGCAAAATAATAGTTAGTTGCAGTCCTAGCTGATATAAAAATGTTATGCAAATATTTAGGCCGATACGTTTATCATTTATGAGCATACCAGCCCTTTGACTGACATGTGAGCCCCCTTCCCTGTCCAGCATTTTTCAGTACAACCTTGTCATACGCTTAAAGTAATAAGAATTACCCTGACATTAGGCCGCTAACAATTATTTGCACATATACACGAGAAAAGTGCTCTGAAAAACAAACCCAGCACCATTCAGACTCGCCCTGAGTGCTTGGAGGCAGGTGCATGCATGTGCTTCTGCTCCACCAGCGAACAGAGAGTGTCACCTTTGATGCAGGGGTGGAGTATCCAGGTTAGGAAGGATTCCTAAAGTGCCGGTCTGTCAAGCAGAACCAGCTGTTTTTTTTCTTCTACCCATTAAAACGCAGCATCACTGCTGTGTTGGTCCGTGGCAGCAGGTGGATCACAGCAACGTCTCACCCAATCAATCATATAGTTTGGATTTTAAGGGCAGATAAGGAGGTCACCCCCCAACAAGGAAGGTTGGGAATAAATAGAAGTGGCTTTAAAAGAGGCTAGATTGGTATAGCATGAAAATAATGCTATAATTAAAATATTTTTTATGTAGACAAATCGAACAGGGGATGAATTCAAACATAAATACAGATAAAACAATAGTTTCTTTTTCTCAAAATAATCCAGAGTGGGAAATGTTTGTCTTATTTCAAGTTTGGTAAATTTAGCTAACATATTTTATGCTAAAATCATCATTCATTGGCAGATCGTTTTAGTTAGCTGCTTAAGTGAAGGGAAACATCATTTCAATCAGGGTTCTAATGTTTCCAAACTCAAACTTCATGATTTTCTTATAATATTGTCAACATTTCAGAACCTTCATTTTTACGATAATCAGATCAGTTTCTGATCAGTGATCTCTTTTGTTTGTAGCACAAGTATCAATACCTTTATGCATCTAATCACACATCCAGTTCAGAGCCTTGAATTTAGAAGCTGTCATTTTCTTGACTTGACTAAATGTAGTTTAAATACATTTTTTCAAGTCACCTATAAATGCATTTGTTTTGTCACATAATTTTATTGAACTTTGTTCATTTATCCAAAAGCTCTTTGAGTCGAGTTGTTTCTCTTTACCTCAGTGATTGAATTTCACTGGATGGATTTTTGTGGTAGCAATTTCAAAATATGTTGCAAGTGCAGGAAATTAATTGAAAAGCTGCCATTTATTGACAAATTATTAAAAATAATAAAAAATAATAATTTTCTGGTGGTCCAACAATCATTTTAAACTATTTATTACTTTAGCAAGAAAATAAGGGAGGAAAACTTGAAATACTGGATTACCAAGAGGTAATCTGAGGTAATATGAAGCACACTTCCATTTGTCCAAATAAGCATGAATGCATATTTCTACCAACCAAGTTTACGTGAGGTTGCTTTGATCCAACTTCAAGCTTTGTAACGATCAGTCTGAACTTCCTGAAATCTTTAATGTTTTAAACTAAAGCAGATGTTTTTCTTTTTACTGTGAAAATACCAATTAGAAAAATAAAAAACAAAAGCTGAACTGCTTTTAGGCTTGTTTGATTGGCAAAAATCTCAAGCTGATTCTGTTTAAAGTTGAAGCTCGGCTTAAAAATACAGGACTAATGCAATTCAGGGAAACACAGGAACCTTAGATAGATGGATCCTGTGACTGGGGCGCCACCTGGTGGTTATTTATGCACACTGCCTATCAAGTAAAAAACCTTAACCTGTTCTTCAAAAAAATCATGATTAACTTTGCATAAAATTCTGATTTTATTTCTTTAAAAGGGATAAACTTTTCATGCCTTTTCTCCATATAGTCAAAGGCCCAGTTATGCTAATCTGGACAATCTCTATAGACTGTTGGAAGATGTAATTAACTCTAATTGGAAGCCTAAGAAGAGAATCTGAACAGATGCTCACCGAAAGTTTGTCCACATCTCCCTTGAGCACACGCTCCAAGTATAGCTGTTTAAGTTCCCTCTCCAGTCGGGATGGCAGACCTGGGTACATGGTGGAGCCTCCGGACAACACAATGTGTTTGTAGAACTCGGCCCTGATTGGAGGAAGATGGACAAAGGTGTTTCACTTTAAAAGCCTGTATCCATCATAGAATAATCTTTTTGCTCTTTTATTTGCACAAGTATTCAAATTTAAACATTATTATAGGTTACTCAGAATATCTTAGAGCCCATTTTCAAAGAAATGGTGCAGTGGTCTCACCTGGTGTCTATGTCAGCGGCCTGGATGGTGTTGAAGAGGAGCTCAGCCACTCCGACGCCCTCCACGTTGATGAGGTGGGGCTGGAACAGAGCCTCGGGGGCCTCAAAGCGCTCTCCTCCCACCTTGATCACACGGCCATCTGGCAGCTGGAAACGTGTGGGAGGGTTGAGATGAAAAGAGAAGGGATGAGGAGGGAGTTTGACACCATTAGAGTGCCTCTGGGTGTAATTCCAGTTTGAAAAAACAACATGAAATTCACACAAAAAATGGCATTGAACTAAATAACTTCTAAATAATGTTGCTATGGAAAGTAAAATCCTCAGAGTGATGCCGGAGGAACTGTGGGCTGGAAGCCATGTTGAGCGAACACACTCAGTGTAAAAAGGCTTCATTGAGCAGAGGGCAGCGGGAGGAAGTGGATCCCAGCCGCTGCAGCGGCTGCACAGGAAATGATGTCATACACAGCTTAGCGGCCCCTTCGGCCATGCTCACATTGCCCTCCTTGTTTCGTCCGAGCCGACTCACCTACACTAACCATAACACACACGGTCACAGTGAGCGCTGAGACACAACACGAGCTCGGGAAGGCGTGCAGGACAGGCAGACGTTTAGATTCTGCGGTGTGTGTCCCCCGACAGGAAAAAGAACCTCGGAAAGAAAAGCAAGTCTGATGGCGGAGAGCTGCACGCCCAGATGTTAGAGACCCAGAGAAAACAGCGCTACCCCGTCATTAAGCAGCCGACAGCGGCCATCTGGTGGTCCCTGTAGCTCACTGCTGATATTTAATAACCTACTAGTTCCTCATAATGAATCCTTTGAGAGGATTTCTTTCTTTGATTATAATGCTTTATGCGGTAACATGAAACATAAACTGGTGTGTGGGGCATGGAAAGAACTTATTTTAGATTTTTTTTTAAAGTAAACTAGATCCTGATGTTCTCCAAAGGGCAGGGTTTATGCTGGCGGGAACATCTCAGGCGCACAGTAGGTCCTGGAAAAATGCAGATGTTCCAGTTTGTTATATTTATTTTAGAAGCAACTGCAGACTTGTCCTTTTCTTTATTCTCTTTTTCTTTTCTGTTCAGATCAAATTAGAATCCAGATGATGAGAAGCTAAAAAAAAAAGTATGAGCCGACCAGCCACACATCTGTCTGATAAACACCTGCAGATCCATAAATGCAGCTGTGATCTAAGTTTATATACAGTTTACTTTCTAAAGAGCCTCCACATCTCTTTATAAAAATATAGTTAATGTACTACATGTCCAATAGAAATGAGCAAGATGCCTGTTTTATAAAATCTAGATACACTATTATTTTACAGCTGTGGGCTAAACATCTAGGTAAGAAAAAGTCATTCAGAGCTGCAAATATTGCAGCTTGTTATTGTGGTTAAATATCTGCTATGGTAGTTCGGCATCTAATGATTATTTTGCAAATTGATTAATCTGTGTTGATTACTTGCTCAATTAATTGTTAATAATCAGATAGTCAAAGATTCCTTAAAGAACACTTTTAACATAATTAAACCAGGTAAAAAATAAAACGTCTCCACTTGAGAAGTTTTGCATAGAGCATACTGACAGACGAAAAAGTTTTTTCATCCTAAATGCAAAATGTTTATATATATAATTTTTTTTTACAACTTAGATATAATCACTGCTCTCAGTGGGTTGCTCTGTCAGCTAAAGGCATGTTTTACAGTCTCTATACTCCCATTTACGATTAACCAATTACTAAATTAGTTGGCGATTATTTCAATAATCGATTAATCAGGATTAACTGTTTCAGCCCTTTTACTATAGTAAACCTAATACCATTTTAATAAAGCTGCTTATTTGTAGCCTTTAAAATAAGGAAATGCATAAAATGTTTCATAAGGAAAGAGCAAGATAAAACAAAACAAAAAAATTTTATGACAAGAAAACAGATTTTTGTGTTCTGTTGTGAAAAATTCAAATATTCTTAAACAAAAAATGTTTCTTAGACTGATAATTGTCCTTATACTACATTAGTTGGTTCTTTATATCTTTTTAAGCTGCTTTTCACTGTAGAGGCTCCAAAGTCACTTTGACGAGCTCAGACTGTAGAGCCCTGATCTAGACCCTGCTAATTATGATAACAAAATCTGATTAATTTCTGAAATAATTGACTAAATTAAGTGATCAAACCACCTTTAACTGGGAGAAACACTCTTTGACAGCCATTTGCTGAAACAATCATCAGAGGAGTATTTAGACCAAAATTGTACAGCTTTATTCTATTAAGCACCTCATGCAAACGATTATTAATATTCAATTGAAAGAAAAGGTCACCACTGAGGAAAGCATTAGCTCCAACCATAGACCCCTAGAGTCACCTGGTCAGTAAATGAACATGTGGAGGCAACTTCAGCCTCAAAACAAGGTTGGTTGTAATCAACAACTGTCGCCAGTTTACGATCTCAAACGGCTGCTTTGGTGCAATGTTTGATCGCTTGTTTATCCCATGTGTCACAAATGAAAGCTCTGTCTTTAAAGTCCACAGCTGAAACAAATCGAAGCGACTGGGTTGGAAGAGGGAGGGTACGTCATTACAACGGCTTACTATAATACTGCAGAATCTGGTTTTTCTAGTGTTGCGCAAACACTGCTTTGTCTGAGCAAAATGTCCCAGCAGGAATCCTACGTTCCTTAAGATGGCGACTCAATGCTCTGAAGAAGCACAAAGATAGAATCTTATGTTAATCAAGATGATTTAGTCAGAAAAGATCTCATAATTTATCAAGCATGTCTGACAGCAGATTGAATCTTTCTCTCTAATCCTTTTGACGCTCAAACTCCTGACTTTAGTTAAAATCACAAACAGAGCATGTTTTATGAACAATCATAGTTAAGATCAGTTATCAAAGCAAGGTTCAGGGATCCCTCAAGGTTTTTTATTATTGTGATGTTTAAGGTGCTTAATGGGACAAAAATTTTACATGAAATACATCAATTGGGAAAGTGACAAGTAACAGATAAATGTACTACAAAATAAGTAGGTTAAAAATGTATCTAACTGATTCAAATATAAAATGTAACATGAAATTGTAAAATGCTTCATAAGACTGTTCAAATATATTTCAACTGATGAACTGCATAATTAAACTTAATTTTTAAATATTTGTTCCCCTTTATATGTAAATTTAGAGTCAGTTAATCAAATGTATTTTAGGGGTCATCAGGGGTCACATGCTGGAAGGTTTTCGGAACCCCTGATCCACATGTTTAGACTTCATTATTATCTTCGCCTGCTGGGCAGAAGGATTGTGGGTAATTCAAAGCAAAAACTGTTTTAAAATGGTCAAATTTTTGTATAAGAAAAAACAATAATCTGGAGCTTTAACTTATAAAACAAAATAAATTCACATAAAATTCCAGCAGTCAATTAATCTCCAAAGCTGGATTGTAAATTGAGTTTTTAATCTTCTAGTTATCCATCAAATATCAGTTAACCTCTTCATTTACATTTTTTATATGTCTTATTGTACTGCTGCCTCTTGGCCAGGTCTCCCTCGAAAAAGAGATTTTATCTCAAGGGAATTCCTGGTAAAATAAAGGTTAAATAAAAATAAATAAAATAAATATCATTCTGCTCATATTAATGCGCTAAAATGCTTCAAAACCAAATGTTTTTGACTTCTCTCTTTAAAGAAAATATCCTAAACATTTGTAACATGTAACATGGTGTTTGCAGAAGAGTTAAAAGTCAACTTTGCAAGATGGTTTGAATATGAGAGAGCTAACTTTAGAGGTTAAACTAAAAAGCAGACCTTCGGTCTGCTTTCAGGAGGCATTTCTCACCACAGCACTTCCTTTTCTACCATATAAAGTAGTGATCTACCTCCATGGTATGAAAAGGACCATGGCTCAATCTGCAGATACCCCTTCACAACTGGTTTTGATTGCCAGTAGAAGCTGCTGGTTATGCAACAAAGATTGTGAAACAGTAGTCCTTTTTACTTATCAAGTGATTGCACCAAAAAGAAATTATTATTTAATTAGCTTTTATTTCTTTCTGATACGATTAAAATGAAGTTGCACCAACCACAGAGTTAGCATAAATAAGTGCAGGTTTACCGTATACGACTCCACCAACACGGTGGTCTCCAGCGCCAGCTTCTGCTCCTGCTCGATGTTGTAGCCCACGTAGCACAGCTTCTCCTTCATCATGCGAACCGTCTCAAAGTCTGCAGAGTGGTTGAAGGCGTAACCCCTCAACAACAGCAGCTGTTTAATAAAAAACAAGAAGAAAGTTGGGTTAGCTTACAAATCAGGACAACTTTGAATTTGTGGTGTCCAGCATTAGGAGCGTATACCTTAATGAGGTAGCGAGTGATGTCCCTCCCTGCAATGTCCAGACGCCTTGTCAGGTGGGGCAGACTGAAACCCTCGTACACCGGACAGATGTGTGTCACACCGTCACCTGAATCCACCACCACACCAGTCAGGAGGCCTGAAACACACACACAGGGCAGGTTATTATACGAGTACATCATAGGCAGGAAGGATGACAGATAGGAAAAGTGTCTAATAAAAAAAATAGAATGAGGCTAGTATAAATCCCAATCGTTTCCAATTTCTTACTAAACCACACTGACAGTAGAGGATGGAATATTTAGGAGCTTGTCGCAGAGATGGTGAAAGAACCATCCAAGGGTCACTGAGCGACCCTTTCTTTAGTGACTAGAGCAGATTTTATACACCTGCAGCCATGAGGGGGAGCAGAAGTTACCTGATGCCATTATATGGAGGGTGAAAAAACAACAACAGGAAATTAGGATTAGATCAAATCTGAGAAGTCCATCAATGGGGGAAATGTGATCAAATTAACCTAATCTCTAGCTAGACAAAATTGGTGTTTCATTAAAACCCCTTCAAATATTACAATTCCAGATGACAAAAATTCTGCACCGATTCACAAAAAAAAAAGCAAACCATGATAGCATCCTATACTATAATCTTTTTGAACTAAAAAATAAACTTAGCAGTTGTTCTATGTTTTTCTCAATACTTTTGTTTTTCTTTTTTCTAAGGAATTTAGCCATTTAGTCACATAGGGAATTTCTTTACCCTTAAATCATGCAGAATGTAAATATCATATTGATCAACATTGCCCCAGAAATCATTTATTTCTAATCTAAAGTATTTTTTAACTTAAAATGGTCAGAGTTAATACTAGATTTAATAATAATTTGATGATAATAATCTAACTTTATCTCACACTGGAGAAATTCACTCCAGTGTGAATTGGGCTGCCATTGAGTAGCGCCCGGGGAGCAGTGTTGGGATTAAGTTTCTTGTTCAGGAACCCAGAGTGGAGGCTGTTGGGATCGAACCAGTTCCTTGCAAACTTTTCAGAGCACAACTGCACGGCTCTAACCTACTTAGCCAATGCTAGATTCTGATTGGGTGCACGGTGTCTGCCTAAAATTGTTGTAGGACAAATGAAAGTTCAGGTAAAAATTGCCCGATTGGCGAGATAGTACACAAAAAAGTGCCTTTATAGGCTTTACTATAATCAGTTACCTTAGTGACGTATCACAAAGAGAGATTAAATAGTCAACTCAGTTGCTTCTGTGTAAAAGTTATGATTTTAACAGTTATAAAAACCATTAACATGTTAATAATTTTGTTATCCATTTCTTTCATAAGCGACCATGGTATAGGTTAGATAATGACCTTGGAAATTTCCATTTTCCAAAACGAATGGACTTAGCACCAGGGGGTTAATTTAGCCTCTACTGATTCTGCCCACACATTTATCTATATTTGAATTCAAAACCGATTTTCACTTCTGCTTGTTAAAATTAGCTCTACCAATGTTAACAGATTAGTAACTGTCATATTAATAGCTAAAAAGCTGCTAATAAAATGAAAAATTAAGAAGCAAAAGGAGGACGATGCATTGGAATGAGCCTTTTATCCACTACTGACTGAAATTCTGCTGCAGATCACTGAACCAGGTGGACAATCAACAGCAATGACATTTAAATCTAAAATCCAGGGAGGAGATTAGGGATTGTTCTACACAGTTATAGCATAGTAAATAGAATAATCCCAATGTAATCCCAATGTATAGTATAATTAGACCAACGATTATCAGATTTCTTAGATGTGAGCATGTTGAGATTTATGTATTTTTGTTTTAGAAACTTTTTGGGCTGCGACATCCTTTCTACTACATGTGGGAGTAGGGCTGGGTATTTTTCCCAAAGTCCTGAATCGATCTGATTTTGATTAATAAAGCTCTAAATCGATTAATTTTGATTCAATCTGTTTTTACTATAATGAAAGTGGTTCAACTGTGTTTCAAAATACTCATGTATTTTATTTTTTTCTGTGATATCAAACACAAAGTGCAAACTTGTAAATCAGATAGTTTAAAGTTGAGATGTGAACAAAACTGTCTCATAAGTGCAAACTTGTTTGTGAAAAGTGAAAAAGTGAAGCCTCACTCACTCAGACATACATGAGCTGCATTATCTTCAATGCAGAAACCATATTTGCAGCGTTGTCTGTAACAACTACAGGGTGTTTGCTGGTCAGCCCCCATTTGTTAATGTCTTCAGTCAACCTATTGGCTATGTTTGCAGCTGTTTGGCTTGAAGTAATCTTGAGTGCATCTTTCCTGCTCATTTGAATGTGAACGTCATGTACTAATCAATCTCGTTCCATAGACATCGATTTTGCAAAAATGTAAAGGAATCGATTCAAAATCAATTAAATCAATTTTTTTACCCAGCCCTTTGTGGGAGCAAAAAAAAATGTATTACTACATAGTCGACAGTTTTCACTTTAAATAGCAACAAAAGCAGCTAGCATCCCTGAATAAGAGCCTTCCAACTAGAGAAAATCATATCAATCTGAGAGTCTTTGAAAAACAGCATCTTCCATAAACAACTCTGTTTAGGATGAGAAAATAGATCTGCTATGTTCAGCCTTCGTGTTATCAGCTGAAAACTGTGCTCTCTCAGCTTGAAGGAGCCGAGGAAAACCTCTTTCCCCTCATATCACTTCTAAACACCAAATTCCAACTGTATATACCATTGATATCTAGTTTGTGTTAATATTGCTGTAGTTAAAACCTACAGTAAAGCTCAACACTGCATGTTTAGTGAGTGGAACAACATGTGAGTTTTAAGGTCTAACCTGCCAACTTCTAATCCGAGACCTAAATAACACCTCTATTGTCTGGCTTCAGTAGAAATTATTTGTTAATGAAATTAATGGGGAACAAGGAAGAAAGTTTGATTAAACAGGATGTGAGGTGAGGACTCTTACCCTGAGCGTACAGCGTCAGGACAGCCTGAATAGCAATGTAGACTCCTGCAAACTGGTAGGTCTCAAACATCACCTGCAACAGGCATGAGAAAGCGCATTACTTACATAAGAAAACATAGCCAGTAACAAACGCAGACATCTTACTTTAAACATGATTTACAAGAATTTGCAGCAGTGTCACTTCTGCAAAGCTTTTAATACACACTTCCTCTGCAAATGGCTGCTTATAGGCAAAAAATGACACACAGCAGCCTCCCTACAGCCAGGCTGCCTAGAGACAGACACACGCCTCCATACCTCGATGATTTTCTCCCGGTTTTTGGTGGGATTCATGGGGGGTTCAGTCAAGAGGATCTTGCAGTTGCGAGAGTCGATGTTGAGTTTCTCCGGGCCGAAGGTATAATCCCAAAGGTGCTTCATGTCATCCCAGTTCCTGACAATGCCGTTCTCCATGGGGTAGTTTACCTCTAGCATGGAGCGCAGCTCGCTGGCCTCATCTCCTACCATCAAGTCCTGGAGGAAGGGACCAACAAAGAGAAAACACTGTTAAAAAGCTGCTAAAACATAAAAAAAAAAAAAAAATAGCATTTAGCTTCAACAAAAAAGTTCAGAAAACCAATACACTAACTTAATCTTCTCTTTTTTTTTTGAATAATTTCAATCGTGAGCCGCACGTCTAACACCAACAGATGCATTCCTGCAGCCTTTCGGCTCAGGACTCTGCTACCCAGCATGCACTACAAACCATTTCCATGCATTTACACCTGGAACCACTTCCCCTCAGCAACAGCAAACCACTTTTTTCCCCTTCAATCCCCCCCATTCAAACAGCCACATGCAAGGCCGCCTAGCAATGTAAACAGCTGCTGGGTTAGAACTCAGTGTTAGCCACACAGTCAAGCATCTCGCGTTCCGCTTGGAGACATCAAAAGCCGACTGAAAGCAGCCATTTTATGGGTTCATCCTGTGTGCTTTGGCATTAACAATGTACCAGTCACAGGCATGGGCTCGACTGCTCTTAAAGGAAAAACAGATGTCCTCCTGTCTCAGACTCTCAGCTGTCTGCCATGCATCCTTGAGTATGCGCACTAGCTGGTCATTAATTGTAAACGTGTAATAGCTACAGTGCCTACACATTTGTAACAGCGAACAAAGAGCTTAGATGAGGCTGACATTTTGAATTCTCTCCAGCTTAAAGCTGCGGTAGGACTGGTGTGGGCGTTAGGCTGTCAGGGCACACGAGGAGATCTGAGACTCTGACAATGGAAACGCTCCAAAATCTCTTTTAGCACTCCATCGATAACAGCTGGCCTGTGATTCATCTGAGGCATTTCTGCCAACAACCTCAGCCTGCAGAGGGGAGTACATTAAACAAAGTGATGGATGTCTTCCTTATTCCCTGCCACTCACTGGGCCACACACAAAAAGAAAGAAAATCCACAAACAAATCAGGGGTTAAAAATTAAAAACGAACTTAAAGTCAGTGACTAAAAAAGAAAAAGAGGTTCCTCATTTTCAGTTTGAGCAATACATTTCAAAACGATCCGCAGCAGGCAAGAACAGGAAGCCCACATAACCTGGACTTACCATCTTCTGGGAATTCTACTTCACCGAGGGAGAACAAAGCAAAGAGAAAAGGGGGCAAGGCGGGTAGAAAGAACAAAGGATGAATAAAGAAAAACGAACAGCAGAAAGGTAGAGACAGGGGCCAAAAAGTGACCATCTGTCTGACTGTCTTGGAATTCTGACCCAAACTTGATTCTTTAAAAGGGACATCAACTTCTGGAAACACTGGGAAAACCAGTTCACTCGTACCTTGATCTCAATGTTTCCCACTTTGGCTGTGGAACGGATGATGGGCCTCCCAACGAGCGCAGGGAAGATGTGCTCTGGGAAGTTGGAGCCTGCATAGCCACACTTGACAAACTGCCGGAAAACAGGAGAGAGAAAGCGATTAGCAAACACATTACAATGCTTTAAAGATAAATGAACCCCATCTTAACTTTATTTGACAATGAGAGCTTAAAGCACAAAGCCTGGTCTGTTACAGTGTTATCAGTTTCGTGCATTTCTGCTCTGCATGTCTAAAAAGAAATCTGTCCACAACCGGGTTAGATTGATTAACAGAAAGAAGTTTATATTAGCTTTTTAAAGCACTTTCACTCCAAGAATCAAAATGTTATTTCAAAATAAAGAGTAATTTCATAAGAAGACAGAATCGGGGCTAATTCTTAGTAGAGCGCTCCTCCTTCCCGTTTTTGCTTCAGACTGAAAGCTAACTGGCAGGAACAAGGCTCCTACATTTTTCCAACTCTTACAAGAAACGAATATAAAAATTAGAAGTTTTAAAGTTTTTTTTTTAAAATACCTTTCAATGTAAAAATATAAATAAAATGGACCGTTGTATTTTGGAAACTAAATAAGCCAACAAACTAGGAGCAGCACATTAGCAGAGGTAATGGCTGCAGGTTTACCAGAGCATTTAGCCCAAATTATCAACCAAGTAACAATGGCATGTTATCCTTACAACAAAAATTTTAAAAAGCAAAATGTAATAGGTACTTTTACTAGTGCTGAAATGATTAATCGATTATTGAAATAATCACCAACTATTTTGGTAATCAACTCGTCACCTAGGCTAATGTTACACTGACTAGAAGATGCCTTTCACTAAAAGAATAACCCAATTACAGCAGTTAAGACCAAACAAAAATCTCTATATATCTATAGATATATATAGATAGAGATATTTATATTGATCTATATCTATCCATCTATTAGGGGCGTAAATCACATCCATCATGGCAATTTGATCCAGTACCAATTTCCTGACCAAACGATTAGATTATTTTCAATACTCAAGAATACACCACGATACGATTCCATTTACTTATTTTTATTTTTTTTTTACCTTACAGGCTAGACAATGTTTCAAATTTGAAATAAATCAATGCAAGCTCTAATATTGTTATGCATTTTATTTGAGAAACAACAGCACATAACAGAAGTAGCAAAGTTGTACTCCACCTAGCCCTATGAAAACCTCATTCATTGAAAAATAATAATGCCCCTGTGTTTACGCGAGTGTGTGCAAGCGGAAAGAGGGTAGTGGGTAAAGGAAGTGACGGAGGAGGGAGAAATAGGTTTAGTGCCACCACAGCACGGGAGTCAGAATTATATCCAGGAGTATTTATGTATATATATATATATATATATATATATATATATATATATAAATTGTATTGTTTTAGGAGCCTCGTTCCAGCCAGTTAGCTTTAATAATATTGTTTTGTTTACGTATCTTTTAAGAGCAATAGAAAAAAGATAGATTAATGCATTTAAACTCTGCAAGCTAACATTATATAAGCTAATCTACTTGGATTATAGTGACTAAGAAAGAAAAAATTTAGGAGCATGATGGGTCATTGCGTTGAAAAAGGAGGAAAATAGTGATGACTGCAATTGATATCTCCATTAGATCATCCAAGAAAAATATAGTGTAAACACTGTGGTAAAATGGGGTATTTCTACTGAAACTCTTCCTAAACCAGACCATGACTTACGCCAAGATCTAAAAGTTTTTAATCTCCATTTGATATTTGCTGCTTTTTCCCTCTTATGAGGAAAAAACATTTTCCGTATCATAAACATTTCAAACAATTCGGGTATCATGTTATCTCATTGCAACGATTAAACTGTGTGCATAAAGTTTTAATACAAATCAAGAACGACAAATGAAATCTTAAGATTTTTCATGCTAATGGTTTCCCCATCAGAGGGCAACTTTCAAAAATGTTACACCAGAAGAGAGAAATATATGTAACCATCCCTAAATAACCCGAGAAAAAAAAAACCCTCTTGTGCTGATTTAAAGCTATTTGGGTCTGTGACTTCGAAAAAAAAAAAAAAATGCACATCTCACATTGATCTATGATGTGAACCAGAATGTGTCAGATCTCTGAATATGTGCTGGTGACATAAGCAGCTGTGGTTTTGTCTCTTCTCACTTCCTCTTGACTTCTCTATTCAACTCTGACATACGGCATTTTTTTTTTTTTTTATCTCCTCTACGGGGTTCACAGACTCTTTTCAAAAAACTTGCATCCGAAAAAAGCCTTATTAGTCGTCAACGTGCTGAGCCAACATCCTCCCTGACTGCTGACAGTGTTTAGATAAGGAAGTCGCTGCACACTAGATGAGGCAGTGGTACCTGTGTGTGCAGTGAGCAAATTCCTGAGGTTGGGCAAGCATTGGGCAAACTCTGTTGTGTTTTAAAATGTCAAGAGGTCACAAAGAAGTTTAAATCCTAACCGTCCTCTATCAGGTTTGTAGCAATGATGGGAGAATATTTCAAACAAATTCTCCAAACTGCAAAGAAATAAAAATATCTAGAAGAATAAAAGTGCTTTGCAACCAAGTGGGGTTTCAATTACTATTCAATGCAGTTACCGATGGGAAAAAAGCAAGCCAAGTATATTTTGCTGGTTATTATACCCAAAATTCTTAGTTTAATGCATTTAAACCCTCCTTTAGTATCTATTGCCAAATATGTCCAATTCTAATCTCTGGTCTTTTGGTTGGTGCATCTTTAATCAAGAGTTTACAGATGCAAAGCTTTTATATGGATTCCAACTTAATTAAAAGAACTGCTATAAACTATTTCAATTAAAAACAACAGGGTGGAGTGTGTTGTAATAACTATGAAGCAAGATTAGTAAATAGAATATTTGCATAATAAATCTGCCTTATTTCAAAAGGTCAACATCTTCATTGACAATTGAAAAACGCTTTATTTGTGGACCTCTATGACAGATGTAGTTCATTTACTTTTGAAAGATCTGGGGTATTTTTCCACAAATAAAGCCTCTTGCATTCGCATTTCCTATATCCTCCTACGACCTTTTTTTTTTTTTTTTTTTTTTTTTTAAAAGAAAACCGCATCAGCTTTGAGGATAATCATAGAAAAATATATGAGACGTGACTAAAACGTGACTATGTTTTTTTAACCTATGCTTCAGGTCGTCAGGTAACATTTTCTGGGCGAAGTCGCTCATAGAGGTGGTTCCCATATTCACCTGACAGGGCCTACATAGCCTAACACCAAGCTGTCATGGCTTTCCGCTCATAAAAGACAACCGAATATATTAAAAAGCAAACCAAATATATATAAAACATGATAAGCCTGCTAATTTCTTTCATTTTTGTCGAACAAAGTATTAAAAACTCAGAGGCTGCTGCAAGACAACCAGCTGTTTAACCCGGCTAGCTACTTAGCTAGCATCTTTAGCGCAGTTACCGCTGGTTAAGAAGAGCAGCTCTCGTTAGTCGCCATTATAAATAACACAAGAGCATTTTTCATAGCAATACGTTCAGATTTTAGCGTGACAATTGCAAACCACCGGTGGGGTGTTTTTGAGGAGAGTCTGGATGAATGAAATTTTGCTGGAAACGAAGCTACACGCCCAGTTGAGGCTAGCTAGCTTCAGACAGCTCCACTTCCTGTTTCAGCTAATTGCTCGACGGTTCGGTTCGGCCGAAAGCGAAGCGCGGTTCGGTGAAACAGCGAGCCGAAGACTCAAACCTACCCCGGTTCCATTGTCACAGACCACTACTTTCCTTCCCTGGCTGTCCATTGTGTAAAAGCCCAGTTGCCGCTGAACCCTCCTCAACTTTCTTCGGCAAGCCGGAAGGAAGACACAGCAGCCCGGCCAAGAAGAGGAAGGGAAGGGTGCTCATCCGGTGTGTGACGGAGCCGCTGAAATCACCACTCACTTCCTCTACTGTAAAAAAAATTCATATACTATATTTTACACTAGAATAGTTTCCTTCATTAGATCACCAGTGAAAAGCATCTAAGTTTAACGGCTGTTGTTTAATCTCCCACCAAACCTACACTTTGTTGAACCTCAAGAAGTGACTTGTTGCCACAAACTTTAAAGTAATCAGAATCAGTTTCCAATTTTCTGCACACAAAACATTATAATTATAAATATATACGATTTATTCTGATATGTACCTATACGTTTTGGTAAATATATATATAAATGTTTTTACAACAGGGGCGGAGCAAGATGGGGGGCCAGGGGTGGCCATGGCCCCCCTTAGCCAATCATTAGCCACCCCTACCATTTTTTCCTTCTAATACAGATGGTGGTAGCAGTAATACTCTCAAGTGGAATATTCGTTTTAATTTTTCATATAATACTTACTATATTTTCATATATTAATAATTTCTTGACAGCAAAAACACTATGGTTAATTATACACATCAATATTACAGGCCCCCCTGGGTGTCAGCGTAAAAAAAAAAAAAAAAGCCGGTGGAAATCCGTGGGCACGAATTGATAAACTAAGCGCACGGTTTTCCAATCCGCACAGATAAAAGAAAAAGTGCTCTCGGTTTATTAACCTGTGCCCACGCGAATTGACTAAGTCTATATGTTTATATATATATATATATATATATATAACAATTAATTGACTAAACTTACCTTGTAGGTGCGACCCATGCATCAAGCTCTGAAGGTTCCGGAGCAGCTGTGTGCACATGGAATGCAAAGCAGGGCACACAGTTTATTGATGCTAGCGCACGGATCAATAAACC